TACGAGGAAGGTATTATGAAGTTGCCGTCTAGATGGAAACAGATCATCGAACAAAACGGCGCATATTTTAACTAAATCCGATCACTGTAACACTTTTTATAAAGCATTGAATGAAGAGCAAAAAAGCAAATATTTGACAACCTTATATGTATGGTATATATATATATATATATGATACGGACAACAACAAAACGCCATTAAACGAAAATCTATAAAGTGTCATAACTAAGCACTAAATGAAGATACCAAATTGCAATTTGGTACAAGGATCGCAATGGTGAGAGGGACTTGTAGGCTAAACATTTCCAAACTTAATCTTAACTCAATTAAACGTCCTGAAAATAAGTAGTTTAAGCATATCTTTACACTCTGTAAAAATGGGTAAAATCAGAAAATAACCACTTCCCACATAACGGTTATGTTGAAAATTAGTGCGTGACACCGCCCACTGTTAGGTGAAATCCTATATCTCAGGAACTACTTGACCAATTTCAACCAATTATTACAATTGTACACTATGGAAATGGGCGAAATCGTTTGACAACCACGCCTACTTCCCATACAACAAACTTTTAAATTCCATCTGAAACTTTGCACAATACCTAATATATGTAATATAGGCCAATCCAATAATTGGAAATTTCGGGACTGAAAAAAATGCTTTTGTAGCGCGAGCCACATAAATGGGGTCGTTGCCTTGCTGAAATATCCAATTTTCGTCATGGTAATTCTCAGCAGAAAGAATGAGCTCACTATTAAATAGATCAATGTATACTTCGGCATTCACTTTAATCGGTAAAAATCACATATGAGATTTGCCTTTAGCCCTTAAGGCAGCCCATACTATTTAAGATCCTTCACCATGGTTTCGCTTAAAGCAAATCTTTCTTGGATGTCTTGTATCTCGCCAATATTTGTGATGATCATCTGGACCATCCAAATTAAATTTTTTCTTATCACTAAAAATTACGTGTTCAAACTCGTCCTCCCAAAATCGGTATTTGTCGCAAATTAAAACACGGTCCTTTTTATATCGCTTCTTCATTCGCGACTGGGCTAGTTTTGATTTAAAGTTAAGTCCCATTTTATGCTTTATAATTTGCTGAACACTCTGTCTAGTGATTGGCAGGCCTAATTCTACTTTTATCTGCCTGCAACTTATGCCTTCTCTAGTTGCTAAGTAATGACTGTGTCTCTTGGTGCGCTTATCGACTGCTGGTAACCAACCAGTCCGCTTGGTGACACCATAGATAGAGAAAGTTCTGTACCACGTGGCATTCTTACTATATAATTAAAATTAAAAGTTGTTAATTATATTTCTATTCACTAGATATAATACCTTTTCCAATTTTATCATTTTAGTTAAAAACTAAATTTATGTACTTACATACATACAGTCTGTACAATTGACAGAAGACAAATAGATGAATTTGAACACATAATTATTTTCTATAAACTACAAATGAGAATATTAAACGTTATACATAAGTACATAAACAAAATATGTGAACCAAGAATACTGCATATGGAAAAAAATTTTACCGTAATAAATTCACCTATTTTACTCTAACATTTCAGAATTTAAAAATACTTAGGTATTTTACACCTTCTCTAAACTCCTATGGTAATGTGTTCTGTCTCTTTTTATAGTAGGGATTATAAGGCGTGTCTCTTTTTAGCAAAAACAGTAACTGACAGTTGACAAGTAAACTGTACGTCACGACTGACATAAAAAATATGAGTGTATTGGGGAACCCATTAGCAGTTTCTTGTAGGGGTGCTAAAGACAAATAAGTGTGTGTGTATGTACATACTTGAATTCGAGCCATTGCAGTGACCGGTGAAAATATCTGCTCATTAAGCGAAAGGAATAAAAAGAACCAAATAGCAGCGCACACAAAAAGCACAACAATAAAATAATGCGATACTGATATTTCAGCCTGCAAACGGTACATGTGTGTGTAAACACATAATGTTTTGTGGTGCTGCTTAGCGCGATGTACAAATGCATGTGGATGTGCATAAACGCATTTATGCATAGACATTAATCCGTCCGTCCGTTTGTATTTAAATCGTAGGTGTGCTTTTACACACAGACTCTTTTGTAACCCAAACCGGTTTATTGTGGGCGAGGGGACGACGAGGAAAGACGAAGGGACTGTGCCACTCGTGTTCGGGTGGCACGCTTTGTGTTCTTGTTCGTAACAGCTCGCTGCTACCCTTTTCAGCATTCCTTTTCACTTTTAAATTCTTTGAACGGTTGCAAGAGCGCTCGGTTTCAAATTAATTCGTTCACAAATTTGAATTCTGTATGTTATATGCAAATATGTATGCATAGAATAATAGAAATATTTTAAAAATTGTAAATAAGGAGAAAATTAAGATACTCAAATATATTCAATTTACATAACATTACATAAAGCGGTATTAAATGTAATAATGTATCAGTATACATAAAAGAATTCTTATAAAAATGGTAACTTTACTTTTTTATATTAACATAAAATATTAAGATGCTTTCATATTTATTTCTTTTTACCGCAAATGAGTTAGTTCAAATATTTTTTTATTTAAAATGAGAATTGTAATTGATTCAAGGATGTTTTATAATAAATAGACAAAAATATGGAGTAGAGAAATTATGAATTTTTAATACTATACTATTATTACTAATAATAGGATTAGAAAATTCCTGTTATAAATTTGGCCTTGAAAATATTAGTAGCGGGTATGCAATACATTCTGGTGGAATATGGAATTCCCGTCTGAGGTATTTCTTTGAAACTATTAAGCGGGTAGGTATTATGCATATTGTTCTACCACATTAATGCTAATTCATTGCAAGCAAAATGTGGGACCACCATCCCAACATACAAATTAACTATGCAACACACTCTAAGTGTCGCGAAGCCGAACCGCACAAACATTTTCGAAAATTTTATGAAAAGGAATGACAGAAAACTCGATTTAAATTGCTGGACTCTTTTTGCTCGTGTGAATGCACAGAGCGACACCAAAAGGGAATTTGCCAAAAATGAGGGTCAAAAGAGTCCCAATGTAAAAGCACACTAAGCAACCTTACAAGTACAGTGACAATCATTTTACCGTTTATTTGACAGTCGCAAATGAAAAATTTTTGTTAGCGCTTAGAACAAAGCTTTTTTAATATTTTTAAGGGCAGTTTTCCAAAACTCATATAAACAAACGCATACGTATGTGTGAGTTTGTATCTCGCTTTAACATATTGGTATTTGAAACGGACATTGTTGACCATAAATCATCATAGTTCAAAATTGTCTGTTATGTCTGTAAATCTATCACAAACTAAAAAGTCTATTATTAAATAGTCCAATATATGTATTAAATACATATAAGTATATTCAAATCTTTCAAATCGATCCGAGTAAAATTTTAAGAAGTGCATCCTTCGAAAATTCGGCCCATCAGGCCACATCAGTGCAGCGCTTCGTACTTAAATGCGTTTATCTCCAAACTCAATTTTTTAAGTCGGTGGACATGATTTCTATAAAAGTTATGAAGCGATTTTGTTCAAATTTTGCTCATCATTCGTTCAAAGTGTGTCAAAGAGTAAAATTAAAAGTTTTTTTTATCGTGCAATAACGGGATTTATTCATTTATTTATAACTAACGAAATATTTTTAGTTTTTTGTTTTTAGATGATTCAATAATGAGTTATGCTGTCCACGGCAAGAAGGAGATGAGGCTAAATTTTCTGAATTTTTAAATAAAACTTCACAAAATATTGTGCATACTTATTAAAACATGTACATATGTATGTACTTACATATGTATCTTTGATATGCTGAACTGTTTGAATTATATATTTGAATGTATATACTTATACAAAAAATAACAAAAATACCATTTTTTTAACTTCTGTAACCCACTTAACCCTTTAAAGGCAGTGCGTCAAAATTGTTGTAAACAAACGTATACGTGATTTTTCCTCTTGATTTCATGCTGGCTCCTCTCAATAGGCGTGCATGCGTTTTCTTCCAATTCGTGGATATTTCATAATTGAAAAATGTCTAAATAAATACGGAAATGGACTAAAAATATAGTGTTATTTGAAACTAATTTAAGTTAGGTATATTTTATTATAAGGCAGGGACTATTAGTCCGGGTACTGTACGAATAATTTATAATTAGTCATCCGTTCAAATTCGTTTTTGTTTTTTTTTCCTTTTCGCTGCTGTTTGACGAGATTGAATTATGAACACCCGGTTTTGTACCGACCAGGGTTATTTTTTTGAAGCGCGGTCGAAGGCCGCCAGTGCGAAAAGAAGTTCAACGAAAAAAAACGTTTTTATTTTATTTTTTTTATTGAACAAATTCACTTTCCGCTCACGGATTTGTAACCTACGCGTAAAAATAAGACGATTTAAAAAAATTTGTAATTCTTGAGGCCTCCTTAGTTGGGGGACCTAAACTATACATTTAATGAATTATCTACTGTATTTTTAGACAAACAGCTTTTACTGTATAAAAATAATGAAAGCACAGGTTTTAGGTTAAAATAAAAGGAGTGGCTATTCACACGGATGAAAAATCAGTGTTAAATACATGTTACAGTCAAGCAGCACTGTCCTAAAATAAAAAAAATTGTTTATGCCTAAATATAAAATTTTTAATTTAGCCGGATTAATAAAAAAATATTATTCGTACGGTAACCGGATAAATAAATAAAAATTATTCGTATTCTTTGAATTAAATTTATATTTTTAAAATAAAACACAAAATGGATATCCTACGGAGGCAAACATCACTTTGTTTCAAGGGATAACAGCAATTCTTGGTATTTGACAAATTCTCGAAACTCCTATGGAAATGTGTACTTTCTCTTTTTGACATATACAAAATTTCGATTGTCATTCTACTGTTCATTTGATTGTGGTGACAGTATTAAAGAATTTAGCTATTTCGTGCTCACATACATAGATATGTAAAGCTATGGTAAGCATTATAAATTTTTTACTTACCGATCCAAACTGGGTTAAATCCTCGAAATAGCAGCACTTCGTCGGATAAATTCCGGGTTCAATTCCAGTAACATAGAGCCGACTGTTGTGGGAATTGTAAGCATTATAAGTCGTAGTCTTCTCTTTTTAACAATCATAATGACGGTCAATTGACAAGTCTATTTGACATCACCACTAACATAATAAATGTGAGTGTATTAGAGAACCCAACAGAAGTTTCTTGTAGTGGAGTCTAAAGTCGCACCGTTTTTATTAAATGCTGATAAACACACTTACACAATGTTGTTGTTGTTATTATTGCTGTAGCTGTTGCTATTGTTGACGGCGGTGTTCTCTACGCTGCTGCCCTGCAGGGCGCCGACAGTGTACTTAGTCCACTATGTGTGTCATCGGCATTTTTCACACACCACCTCGACAGCCAGCGCGCACCGTACAATCGAGTGATATGAACTGTATGAACTGAACCGCAGTGTGATATTTTTGTTATTGTTTTTTATAAAAAAAAGAAAAGCAAAAAATTTGCCGTTTGGAAGCAACAATCACTAGAGGAGCGGCAGGAGTACGTCCACGTGTGTGCTTGTAAGAGAGAGATCGAGAGCGAGGCGCATGGGGCGGATGAGTTACAAACATTATAAACTCGTCAGCGGTCGTGATGCAGAGAAGTAGCAAAACGGCACAGGGCAGCCAAGCAGTGGCAGTGGCGATGTCGTTTCGGTGGTGTGGCCTCGCTCATTCGCGCAAGCATAGAGTTTGGTTGCACAAAAGAAAAAATGATGTAAATGAAAAAATTTCAGCAAACAAAAAACATAAATGTTATTCAACTAAGAAAGTGTAAAAGTGGCAGCAGAAATACTTTTCAACAAACACACTTTGGGTAAGCGGCAAATTACATGCAACAACAAAATGAACTGCTGCACTGCTGTCGACAGTATATAACAACAACAATTGAGCGCATCTGCTTTCCACTAGCATTTAGAGTACAATAAATTGAAAAAGTATGGAAAAGAGGCAAATAAAATCTGAAATTTAATGCATACATATACAGCGGTGTTGTTGTTGCGGCTATTGTTGCAACATGTGCTGTTGTGACGCATGCTTTGTGGCAGGTTCAATATATGTACATACATAAGTATGTATGTATTGTACATATTGCCAAACGAATGTAATCAGCAGCAGCGGAGCTTGCGAATTAGACTCACAAAGCGGAGGGAAATACCTACAGACAAATATATGTACATCTCATAACTGTAAAAGCGATGGTGGTGGTTGAATATTTCCTAAATTTAATAATGTAGCATTTTTAAGACAATAATTAAAATTTGATGTTCTGAACGCTTTGCTGTTAAGTGACTTTGAATATTTTAATTTGTAAGCTACATTACTAATAATATTTGAGGTTGGAAATTGAAAGGAAGTTATGAAGTATTTAATAATAATTTATTTGTGCGTAGTAACATAAATTATTGGTGCTGGCGTACAGCTGTGTTCATTGAAATAGTGCAACAGAATCGAAAATATACATACAAATGTCCATATGCATAACGTTTTTTTTTTGCATATTCTCTTTCGTTAGTTGATCGTTATGTATAAGTATGTTATAATGATATTTCAGAAGTATTTACATATGTATGCGTATATGTATGTACAAGCTCCATATATTTTTTGTAGTAATTATCAATAGCCGGAGTGCGGAACTCCGCTAAACCTACTTCCAAATCAAGTATCTCCCACGGAACCACCGGATTAAGTATTACTTCATGGAGAGAAAAGGATATTTAAGTCTCCTCTATGGTACGGACTGACTAACTTCTAATCTGTTGTAAATATTATAGTTTTGTCATAATTAGAGCTGACGCTTCGCTGACAGCTTTCCATTTATCAAAGGACTGACACATACATATGTGCTGTCAAAGTTTCCACCGTTGAGCTACCGCCGAGTGTATATTTAAACTTTTCCCTAATATTTAAAAAACGGGGGCACTAAAAAAATAGGTGTTCAGAGTCTTCTATGCACTTTCGTCTGACAAAATTGACTAACGTCAATACGGACTACCTTCTTAAATATCCATGCCCACTCAGTATTTGGGTTAGGTCTATTCCCGAATGAATGTCTGGTATCAGTCTGGGGGTCCATCGTCCTTTGGATGAGGTTTGCAACCGTTGCTGCCACATTGTTAAGCTCTTGGCTCTCTCCTCTTTTTTTGTTTACTAGTGAGGATGGCTCTGAAGGCTGGTATAGGTGCGCGAATTCGTTCTCCTGGATGTCAATAGGCATGCTGGCTAAAGCT